AAGCAACTTTTCTTCACAAAGAAGTAGGGAGACTCTAATATTCCATATGAGTGAAGAACATGAGAAAAGGAATAACAGCAATGCACAACAATGGTAAAACTAAGGTATACAGAAACTAGTTTACAGTCAGTCGTGAAATACAGTACTTACTATGTGCCAAACACTATTTTAAGCCTGTTACATATATTAACTTATTTAATCCCCATAGCAACTCTATGAAAACAGTACAATTATATTATCCTTATTTTACATGTGGAAACAGAGGTACTAAAAAAACTTGCCCAAGGCTATACAGATACTAAATTGTGAAGGCAGATTCCAAATCCATACATCTTACAGATTTCCAATACTTGCAATATTAGTTTCCCGTGGCTGCCACAACAAAATGTAAGCACGGTGGCTGAAAATAGTAGGAATGTCTGTCTTACAGCTCTGGAGGCCAGAAGTCTGAAATCAAGGTGTCCACAAGGCAGGCTCCTTCTGAGGCTCAAGGGGAGATCCTTCTTTGTCTCTTCTACCTCTGGAAGCTCCTGACACGCCTTGGTTTGTAGCAGCATAACTCCAATGTCTGCCTCCGTCATCACAAGGACTTTCCCTCTACGTTTCTGCATCTACGAGTGTTCTTGTAAGGACACTTGCCACTGGATTTAGGGCCCTTCCTAAATCCAGAATGATCTCACTTTAAGATCCTTAACTTACATCTTCAAAGACTCTGTTTCCAAAAACTTCTCATTGACAGGTACTAGGGGTTAGAACCTGAGTGTATCTTTTTTAATAACTTTATTGACAAATAACTCACATCCCATACAATTCACCCTTTTAAAGTGCATAATTTGATGGCTTTTAGAATATTTACAATATGTACAATCATGATAAAAGTCAATTTTAGAACTTTTTCAAAAAGAAACCATATATCCATTAGCTATCACTGCTCTATGTCTATTTCTCCCTCCTTCCCAGCACTAAGCAACCACCAATCTCCTGTTTCTATGTAGATTTCCTTATTCTAGACTTTCACATGAGTGTAACTATAAAGTATGTGGTCTTTTGTGACTAGCTTCATTCACATAGCATGCTTACAAGGTTCATCAATGTTGCAGAAAATATCAGTACTTCATTTATTTTTACTACTAAATAATAGTCCATTGTATGAATATGACACATTTTGTTGATCCATTCATCCGCTAATGGACGTTTGGGTTGTTTCCACCTTTTGGCTATTATGAATAATGCTGCTATACACAAGCTTGTGTGTGGAAATCCATTTTCTCTTCTCTTGAGTATATACTAGGAGTAGAATTGCTGGATCATACCATAATGCTAATGCTTAATGTTTTAGGAAATACCCAGCTCTTTTCCAAAGTGGCTGTATCATTTTATATTTCTACCAGCAGTGTACAAGTGCTCCAATTTCCCCATATCTCCACTAATACTTGTTATTTGAGTTTTTATTCTAACCATCCTAGTAGGTATATCTCAAGGTTTTGACTGCAGTTTTCTGATGTCTAATGATGCTGAACATCTTTTCATATGTTTACAGGTTATTGGTATATCTTCCTTGGATAAATGTCTATTTGAACCCTTTGCCCATTAAACTGAGTTATTTGCCTTATGTTTGAGTTGTAAGATTTCTTCGTATATTCTAGCTACAATTCTTTATCAGATATGACTTGCAAATATTTTATCCCATCCTGTACACTATTTTTTAATTGTCTTTATGATGTTCTTTGGGGCACAAAAGTTTTAATTTTTGATGAAGTCTAATTTACCTATTTTAAATTTTGTTGTTCAGGTTCTTGGTGTCATGTCTAAGAATCCTTTGCCAAATCCAAACTCATGAAGATTTACCTCAGTGTGTTTTCTTCTAGGAGTTTTATAGAATATCTTTTGGAAAGGGCACTATTCAACCTACTATACACATACTAAACAACTCATTATAATAAATAATTATTATTTAATTCTAACAAACTCCATGGGTACAGAATCACACAAGAAAGAAAGGGCAGCGGTTTGACATTACTGATCCAAAAAAAACTAGTCTATTTTATAAACAGATAACAGGTAGCTACATTTCAGAATCATCAAGGAAGATGCCATACACACACTCAAAAATGTCTCATACATGAATTTCACTAATTAGTGACTATGCATCACGTAATTAAAAGAACCAGGGCTCCCAAGTCAAAGACCCTGGTTTGGACACTGGCTTTTGCTATTCACTCACTGTACAGTAGCCCCTCCCCCCATCCCAAGTCCCCTAGTGGAGACCTGAGACCACAGATACTTCCAAATCCTATATATACTATGTTTTTCCCTATACACATTTGCCTATGATAAAGTTTAATTTATAAATTAGCCACAGTAAGACGGTAACAACAATAACTAAAAACAAAATAGAGCAATTACAACAATGTACCAGTATCCCAACTTTTGCACTTTGGGGCCACTATAAAGTAAATAAAATAAGGGTTACTTGAAAACCTTTGAAGACCCTGTTTCCAAAAAGTTCACATTGACAGGTATTAGGGGTTAGATCCTGAGTATATCTTTTTAAATAGCTTTATTAACATATAATTCGCATACCATACAATTTATACATTTAATGTGTATAATTTGATGGCTTTTAGTATATTTACAGAGATGTGCAACCATATCTGCAACAGTTGATCTGATCTGATGGCTAATAAGTGACAAATGGGCAGGGAGCATCTATAGCATAAGGACACTGGACAAAGGGATGAATGATATCTAGAGTGGGACAGAACAGGACAGCACAAGATTTCATCACACTACTCAAAACAGTATGCAATTTAAATCTTATAAATTGTTTATTTCTGGATTTTTCCATTTAATATTTTCACACCACAGGTGACCACAGATAACTGAAATTGCACAAAATAAAACCACTGATAAGGGGAATCACTTATAAGCCTAGGAATATTATTTAACTTCTCCAAGCATCAGTTTCCTGATAATACTTCTGTTGCAAAGATAAAATATACAAACTATTTAGCAAAAGATATGACACATAATAGGTACTCACTAAATACAGTATTAGTGTTTTTCTCTTCCTTTCAAAATGTAAATATCTCCTTCATACAGGGATAAGTCTTATTCCTAAAGTAGCCTTCCCTCGAACCTACTTAAAATTAGCAACACTAAAGAAATAAAAATTATGTTGGAGAATGGAGGTTAAAAGGGGTAACTTCAGAGAATGCAGTAATTCAGGCAGAGCATCAGAAAGTTCTAGAATTTTGGAAAAAGCAGAAGAAAGATTCACACAGCAGTGATGATCGTTTCAGCTGTTTCATAGGCAAGCTGTAAGTGCTATAGGCAAAGAGGGGAGAGTATTGGCGTCAGTAACAATTTATAAGGTCATAAGCTTCTGCTCTGCCAGACCAGGGTAAATAGTTTCCATTCAATTTCTACCTCACTCTTTGGTTAAATCTGTATTTAACTGAAGATATTTCTTCTGTTTAGAGATGAAGTACCACTGTTATTTTCACTAATATATAAGCCACTACAAAATGACAACACAAATAGACATATTATCCCAAAAAGTAATATCCATCTCCTCAAAATAACTATTAATTGATTCACCCCAGACTGAATATCAGCTTGAAGTGCTTACCATCTCTGAAGATGGTAAAAGGTCACCTTTCTCGACTTCTCTACTAAAACAAAGAATGGATCAAATCTCTCCAACAAGGCTACTAAGTCCTGACATTACTTAAGGTTAACTGTAGACCCGCTGCAATGGGAGTACAGTGTCAGTGTTCACAGACTGAAGGGGCATCAGCAGCCACAACACTACCCCGAAAGGTTCCAAGATCATACTCCCATTCGCACACAGCATGCTGCCATTTCCATATGGCACAAAACCACGGAAAAGAAAAAGATACAAGCTTCCAGTTCTACAAACAGCCGCTAAGTTACCTAAAGCTGTTCTTTACCTAGGCATAGTATTTCTCAGAATTTACTTTCAAGTCTATAATCCACAAGCTGACTGTTTGTTTTTCTCTCTTTTCCATATTTCTCAGGAATCTTTTAGTATTCTCTCAGTTCTGGAATCACATTCTATCCTCAGTTACCACTCTACAACCTGCACAAGAATGTCCCTCATATCTAGAAAAAACAAAACCCCACATTCAGATATGAATTATATCTTCTCCTGTCATCTGAATTACTAATAAAGCTTAACAATCCAAACAACAATTCAAGACTTAACCAACAAATGCTATCATCCAACACAATAAATGCTAGTCCCAAAGTTCTTGAAGCATGAATGACAGTCTACAAACAAAACACTAGAGGTCCATCATAACTCAACTCTTCGTTATAGCACACAGTGTTTTTTAGGTTATCTCCTGATTTAAAGCCATTAACCAATAATTATTCACAAAGTGTTGTCATACAATATTTACAAAGTATATTCCTTCATTTGGGCCTCACAATCTAATAATATAGATTGTCATTGTTCACATTTTAAGGATGAGGAAACCAGCTGAGATGAAATAATTTACCCCCAGTAAGATAGTATGTAAGTATCTGAGTTGGAACTCAAGCTAGGCTTTATATTTCTAAGCCTACTCTTGTTCTAAGTCAATTGTGCCTTTCAGTAACACAGGAGGCTACTTCTACCCAACTAACTGCTTAAACAGCACAACTAATAAAGTTACCCTCTCAGAAAACTGATATAGAGCTAAAGCAAGATCCTCCAACTAAACTTGTTCCCAGTCATCTGCCAATGAACAGATTCCCCTAAATATCTGATGAAAACTATCCTTTGTTAACATCTGGACATTGGATGAATGTTAAAAATATATACACATATATTTATACACACACAGAATACATATATATAAGTAAATATAGTACATATATAATAATAAACAATGAATTAGGTATACAACCCCATTGAGTATACTTCTAAGAAGTTTTCATTTATTTTGAATGTATAAACCTCAAAATCTGAAACAAATCTAAAGAAAAGGCCTTACCTGTTCACCTGCATCCTGAAATTCTTTACAAGCATCAGGGAAAACATCATAAATAATAAGCGGATAGCCATGTTTCATGAGATTTTTTGCCATTGGATTCCCCATGTTGCCCAGTCCAATGAATCCAACTGGAGTCTTAGAAGCCACTGACCTAGAACACACTGATTTCAATACATTATTTTCAACAGGAGCAAATTACATTTTTTATTATAAACATCATTCAATATTAGTAAGTCAACAATTACTTAGATGCTTTCTATAAGAAACTTTTAGGAGCTGGTCACAGCGGCAAGAGCATGCAAACCCAGCTACTCAGGAGGCTGAGGCAGGAGGATCTGTTCAGGAGTTCAAGAACAGCCTGGGCAAAATAGCAAAATACCATCTCAAAAGTAAATAAGTAAATTAAATATTAATACATTTTTTAAAAAAACTAAAAACTTTTAAAAGGCTTGTATTATACTAATAACCTAATCAATCACATTTAAATTATAATTATTTATTTCTCCAGGATATTTATACAGTTGTAAGCATCTCTCCTATTTTCTACCTCTATAGCATTTCTTTTTTTTTTTTTTTT